GCTGGCCGACTGGCTGGCTCCATCGTCTCTTCGGTGTGTAACAGCTGCAGCTAGACAGACCTAGACAAAGGCCGCATTGTTCTTGCCACAGGATGCAATAAAACGCAGTCAAAGCAGGTGCATGCCCCATTCCCATTCCCATCTGTAGCTTGAACTCTTGCACTCCTTCTCTCCCGTCTCTCCCGTCTCTCGCCCCCATTTCCCATCAAATGCTGGGGCCAGGCCAGGGCGTTCTCTCAACATGTTGCCAAGTCATTAACTTGAGCCTGTTTCTGGCTCCTTTGTTGCCTGTTTGTGATTACACCAGGGCCATGGCGGGCGGGCGGGGGGGGGCGGCAACAAAAGGCGGCCAGGACATGGACATGGACATGGATATGTCGCTGCTGTTGCCTGTTGTTGCGCCTTGAGCGTTTAGGCCATTTGAAAATTGCAGCAACAGCAACAGCAACAGCAGCAACAGCAGCAGGGTTGCAAGCCGTGGAGCCACCACTTTGGCCAGCCCTCTTGCCTCATACCATCTCTGTCCCTGTCCCTGTCTCTCTCGCCGTCTCGTTCTGTTCGTGCCACCAGCGGCAGCGCCATTGTCTCGTCTCTGTATGCGTTTATTGCTCATGTGCGAATTTTTTATGGCTTAAAGAAAACAACCCCCAAGTGGCACCCCGAGTGGCAGACACACACACACACATGGACACACACGTGTGTGTGTGTGTGTGTGTGTGTGTGTGTGTGTGTGTGGCAATGTCAACTGGGGCGTCTACAAGCTGCTAAGTGCACTTGCCCAGCATTTCTTTTTCTTTGCCACATCTAATGGGCGTGTGTGGGGGGTGGGGCATGGGGGAGGGGGGGATTGAATGAATACATAATGCCCTGCACTTGAGGCGGACGTCGTCTCCGACTCTTCTTTCCCTTTTGCGACAAAAGCAAGCGGCTAATTCAGATGTCCCCCCCCCCCCCCCGCCTCTGAATCCCCTCCTCCAGGGCCCGAGTCCGTCAGATAAATGCATTCTCTAAATGTTGCAAAAACCCAGGCCACTCTCACTCTCTTACGTGCAACCCTTCTACGCCTCCTTGGGGTGCTTGTCCTTGTGTGTGTGTGTGTGTGTGTGTGTGTGTGTGTGTGTGTGTGTGCCTTCCGTTGCCAGTCGGCCGGAAAGTAATTAAAATCTGCGCTTAAGTGCAGCTCTTCAAAATGCAGGCTGCAACAAAAAAACACAAAAATTCACAAGAAATGGAAACAGTAGAAGGAAAGGCATTTGTTGGGGGGGGGGGTGTGGTGGGTAGGGGGGGTGCAGCGCTTTCTTAAATCCGCCAGAAAATAGTGAATAATTTTGAGCGAACTAAAGCCCTGCCACTGGGGAGGCGACCTCTGGAGTCTAGGAAATCTAAACGCCGAAAATAGAAAACATAGAAAGCATAGACAATAGAGAACATCGAAAATATCCTTGATAGTCTTTCAGCGGCCCACCAGCGCCATCTGTGCGGCCGAAAAACCGTTCCCACCGCCTTAGCACGGACACACCTCCACTGGGAACAGTCCGTTGAACATCGCACGGCAGCCACACAAGCCAGGGGCGATGGAGTGCTCGTCGCATGCGATGAGAACATCGCATGAGTGGCGGCTCAAGTGCTACCCCTGCGGAGTGAAACTCAAGTGCTACCCCTCCCGAAAAGAACTCAACTCAAGAGCGAACGGAGGGGCAACACCGAGCAGCCCTGCGCCTCAGTCCTTGCCGTGGCACTGAGGCCGTCTATGTATTAGCCATCCTGACAGCTGTGCTAATTAATCGAAAAGTTCCAATTGAACAGAGGAATAAATGAATAAAGAATTGCCATTGAGGGGGGGTGGGGTGGGGGAGTACATAGGAAGTGCGCAGGAGAGTGCCCCGTCCCCCCAAAGAGAACTTGTTCTGCCTTCAGACTGTATTCAAAATTGAATAATACAGATTTTATAGCTTTATTACACGTCAAGTGCTGGGGAAAATGATAATAATTTGTATATAATATTATGATATTAGGATTTTCATGGGAACATCTTAAAAGACTAATCGATTGTGCGAATGTGAACTTCAGGAACAGGTTTAGGTCCAGATCAGGGCCGATGAGCAAGCCCCTCAATGGTTCTGCTGGTGTCTGACCCCTGATCGAACTTGAGCGCATGATAATGGGGCTTTTCTTTGTCCATAGCACCAATCAGCACTTTCGGATGAGCGGACTATTCGAATGAAAGACGAGACAAAGTTGATCAAAGCATTCTTGATTTTGTTTACATTTTCGATGGGATATTTTGACAATATTTGGTCTTAAAAAAATACTAAAATCCCGTCTAAAAAATGGCGGGTAGTGGCAGGAAGATGAAAAATACTTCACCATTTCGCTTACATACTAAATATACAAAAATAATTATATAAAAATTGGACGAGCCGTTTTGGTAGGAGTTCCAACACATCCACCGTGACACAAGATTTCTATATATTAAAATATAAAGATATCATTTAATAACTTTAGCCAAAGATTTATTTAATTTGATTTGTATTCATTCCCAGCGCTACAAGCTTAAACTTTTAATCATTTTATATTATAATTATTATTATTATTTTATTATATATTAAAATTATTTACTTAAATCAAAGACTTGGCCATAAATATTTAACATTTTTATGATATATTTTCCAATGCTTACATTATAGACCTGCTTTTTTAAATTTCTTTTATTGGGTTTTTTAATTTTTTATAATTTCTATAAATTATTTTCTAATGTTATTTGTATTGATTTCTTAAAAACTCTTGCCTCCCGAGCAAATTCTTTGAGTCCTGGGCCATAAGTTATTTTCGCTGCCAGGTAAATCGTTTCTAAACGTTGAAAAATTTATTTAATTTATTATTTGTTCATTTATTTATTATTTATTATAATTATTATTATTAATAATACATTCAAATTTTTTACTTAAATCAAAGACTCAGCCATAAACATTTAAAATTTTTATGATATATTTTTACAAGCTTACATTATATTCCTGCTATTTTACATTTCTTTTATTGGGTTTTTTAATTTTTTGTATCTTTTAGAAATTATTTTCTAATATTATTTGTATTGATTTCTTAAAAACTCTTTCCTCCCGAGCAAATCCTTTGAGTTCTAGTCCATAGGTTATTTTTGCTGCCAGGTAAATCGTTTCTAAACTTTGAAAAATGTATTTAATTTCTTATTTATTTATTATTTATTATAATTATTATTATTAATAATACATTCAAATTTTTTACTTAAATCGAAGACTCAGCCATTAACATTTAAAATTTTTCATGATATATTTTTACAAGCTTACATTATATTCCTGCTATTTTACATTTCTTTTATTGGGTTTTTTAATTTTTTGTATCTTTTAGAAATTATTTTCTAATATTATTTGTATTGATTTCTTAAAAATTCTTTCCTCCCGAGCAAATCCTTTGAGTTCTAGTCCATACGTTATTTTTGCTGACAGGTAAATCGTTTCTAAACTTTGAAAAATGTATTTAATTTCCTATTTATTTATTTATTTATTATTATTATTTTATTATACATTAAAATTATTTACTTAAATCAAAGACTCAGCCATTAACATTTAAAATTTTTTATGATATATTTTTACCAGCTTACATTATATTCCTGCTATTTTGCATTTCTTTTATTGGGTTTTTTAATTTTTTGTAATTTTAAAAAATTATTTTCTAATATTATTTGTATTGATTTCTTAAAAATTCTTTAATCCCGAGCAAATCCTTTGAGTCCTGGGCCATACGTTTTTTTTTGCTGCCAGGTAAATCGTTTCTAAACTTTGAAAATTCATTTAAAGAAATCACAAAACCCTAAAATATGAATTCCAACTTTCTTTACATAATTCAAGCGTTCGAAGCGACAAATTATTGTAATGCCCGTGGACCTGTGGATATCTGGATTAATTTCAACTTTATTTCATTGGCGAAGGCGAAGTGCTCCCTCGGCGGAGAAATGCCAAAGAGTTTTCAATATGTTGCAAACATTTTCTACATTTCCAAAAAGTTTTTCCTGCCAGCCGCACGCCGCAGCTGGCGGGGCAAAAGTTGCCAGTGCAGTGGCAAGAACGAAAAAAAAACCACACACACACAAGCCCCAACCGAGCCCAGAGAAAATCTTCACCATCGTCCGTATCCGTATCCCGTATCCCGTATCCTGCATTCGCTTCGGGCACAAGCTCAATTCTCAAATGCAAGCTGCAAATGAGCAAAAAATTGTCAGTCCACCAGGAGGGGGGGAGCTGGGGGACTGGGACTGGGGGACTGGGGAAAACTGTGAAAATTGAAATGAAAATTACCCATTGTGGCAGAAGCAACAGCAGCAGCGGCAGCGGCAGCGGCAGCGGCATTTCAATTTGAGCTGCCATTTTGCACGTGCCCCGAGAAGGATTCCTTGGCTTCCTTTCTTCCTTTGCCTCGTCCTTGTCCGGTCCTGCCGGGCTGCCTGGGCACTGCCCCACCCCCCACCCATAATCTTGGCCAAATGCCGTCGTCGACGTCTTGCACTTTATTCATGGCCCTGGTCCACGTCCGACTTTATTAGTTATTTTCCGCTCAATTTGTGTTCTCTGGGAGGCAGGATAACAAGAAAAATTATTTTCATTTCATTCAACACATTCATAATGGCCCCCAAGAATGTCCTTCGCGGAGCTACCACCACACCTTTTCCCGCCTTTAGCGCCCGGACAGAGACATCTTTTGTTGCAATTCACGTTGATTAGCGCCCGATGAAGGTCGCAGTCCGTGCACGCCACCTCCTCCACCTCCTCCACCTCCAATCCCGGCCTGGGAACCCACTCAGCTGCCGGCTGGGATTGGAAAAGTTGACGGCTAATTACATTGGCAGTCGGTAGCTGTTTGAAAAGTTTACGCACAATTATCAACACTCTTCGAGGCGTCGCATGATGGGGCACAAAAACTTAACAGACACGCCCCAAAAGTCCCTGCCATATAAATGGAGCCGACGGCGCGTAACCACAAATAGTTCCTGACCAGCGTTTAGCGTGGAAAACTTCACCGAAAAGATGACCGGCCAAGAACAGGAGCCGGACACGGCCCGAACCTTTAAGGACATGATGAGGGTCCCAGTTCAGTTTTACCGGACCATTGGCGAGGACATCTACGCCCATCGGTCGACCAGTCCGTGGAGATCGCTGCTGCTCAAGGTCTACCTGTACGGGGGCTTCATCAACTTCAATCTGCTGTTGATCGGGGAGCTGGTGTTCTTCTACAAGTCCATACAGGACTTCGAGACCGTCCGCCTGGCCATTGCCGTGGCTCCGTGCATCGGCTTCTCCCTGGTGTCCGACTTCAAGCAGTTCGCGATGGCCTACTACAAGGGCACCCTGGTCCGGCTGCTCGACGAGCTGGAGGAGATGCACCCGAAGACCCTCGAGCGGCAGCGCGCCTACCGGATGCCCGACTTTGAGCGCACCATGAAGCGGGTGATCAGCATCTTCACGTTCCTGTGCCTGGCCTACACCACCACCTTCTCGTTCTACCCGGCCCTCAAGGCCTCCGTGAAGTTCAACCTGCTCGGCTACGAGACCTTCGACCGCAACTTCGGCTTCCTCATCTGGTTCCCCTTCGACGCGACCAGCAGCAATCTGGTCTACTGGATCGTCTACTGGGACATTGCCCACGGGGCGTACCTGGCCGGCATCGCCTTCCTCTGCGCCGATCTGCTGCTGATCGTGGTCATCACCCAGATCTGCATGCACTTCGACTACGTCTCCAGGCGGCTGGAGGAGCACCCCTGCGAGCCGGGCAGGGACAGGGAGAACATCGAGTTCCTCGTCTGGATCGTCCGCTACCACAACAAGTGCCTCACGTGAGTGTGCCCCCCTTCTCCCCAATGGCCCTGCGTCCTCTGATTATCCCTGACTATCGCCGGACAGCCTCTGCGAGCACGTGAACAATCTGTACAGCTTCTCGCTGCTGCTCAACTTCCTGATGGCCTCCATGCAGATCTGCTTCATTGCCTTTCAGGTCACCGAGTCCACCGTCGAGGTGATCATCATCTACTGCATATTCCTGATGACCTCGATGGTGCAGGTGTTTCTGGTCTGCTACTACGGCGACACCTTGATCGCAACGGTGGGCTCTGCTCCTCGTGGTCTTGCCTTCCCTCGGTACTGATCCTCTTCTTTCTAGAGCCTGCGAGTGGGCGACGCTGCCTACAATCAGAGGTGGTTTCAGTGCAGCAAAACCTACTGCCAAATGCTCAAGATGCTGATCATGCGCAGCCAGAGGCCGGCCTCGATCAGGCCGCCCACATTCCCCCCCATCTCACTGGTCACCTACATGAAGGTGAGGCCGGGGCTTATGGCTTATGCACAACAGTTTTGTGAGCTCTTCTTGGTTCTATTTAGGTCATCAGCATGTCGTATCAGTTCTTTGCCCTCTTGAGGACCACCTACAATGCCAATTGAAGGGCGGCGCCCTGCCGGCGCCCTGCCGGAGCCCTGGAGCCCCCACCTGCCCTTCGTCAATCGGTCAGATCACAGCAAGATTCGAACTTAATGATGCCCTTCGACACGCTTTGATAATATTTAATTAAAAATCGCATTTAAAATTAATAAGCTTAAATGGAAACCAATAGCGCCTGGCCGAGCACAAGCCGAATGCCGGCAAATCCCGCACAGCACAGACTCCAGGTTTTTTTTCAAAAGGAATATTACATCACCAACAACAAAATCAACAAAAAATCAACCAAAAAACTGTTATGCAAAGGACCTCCCCCCACCCCGCCATAGAGCCTCCATCCATCTGATGGTGCTCCATTGGCCTCTCCCCAAGAGCGACCTGGTAATAAAAGGAACAACATAAAACGCAATCACAATCATCGACAATAATCTGGCAGCAGCAACAACCAAAAAAAATCCAAAAAAAAAAAAAAAAACATGAAAAAGCATGAGGAAAAAAAAAGCAGAGAAATGCTTATTATAAAATTTCACAGTTTTTCAATGAGCAAAAATGAAGGCAAACACAGGAGGAGATTCCAGTGGGAGTGTGGGCGTGTGGTGGGGGGAGGGGGCGGGGCGGCTGAGGGTGGTGGTGTGTGCTGTGCTGTGGTGTGGCAGGAATGGCAATGGCTTTTCAAAATCATAATGGCAGCTAGTAACAAGAGTTTTGTGTACAAACAGATGGGGAGGGGGGAGGGGGGTGGTACAAAAAATATTCCACCGATCGTTGGGGAGTGGGGGAGCAGAGGAGTCCTCTGGAGCTGGCAAATACCACGTCAGCAGGGGCTCTGGCCCGGTCCCCTCCCCCCTCCTAGGACTCCGATGTGCACGTCACGCGCGACCACTTATAAAAACCTTGGCCACCCAGCACAGCCCCCCCTCACCCCTCACCCTCACCCTACGCCCATCCGGAGCTGGCCCCCGCTCTCTGGCTCGTTGCATTTTCCCTTAACAGGCCGTTAGTCGTTATTATTTTGGTCCATTGACGCTGCGGGCCAGGGCTATATACACAAGTAGCAGAAGGAGCAGGAGCCGGGGCAGTGGCAGGAGGCACGTGGAACGAGTCCTGTTCACTATGTACATAATAATGGCTCCTGCATATTTAGAAGAGCAGAGCAGAGCAGAGCAGAGCAGAGCAAGGCCAGAACAGGGAAGGCCAACGGCAGTGCCAGGCAGAGTCCACATTATGTACCACCCCCGAGAAGCAGTGCCAGGAGGAGGGAGCAGGGACCAGGGAGCAGGCAGCAGGCAGTCGTAGTCGTAGCCATAGCCGGACCCGGGCACAGCCACCCTCATTGACGTTGATGTCCCGTATTGGAATCGCGTTCGTTTCGTTTCGTTTCGTCCTGGTCCTTGTCCTCATCATCATCAGGATGCTGGCCGGAGAAGGAGGAGGAGGAGGAGGAGGAGGAGGGGGAGGGGCTTTTCAGTGGAAGCGCACTCTCGACAAGGCACCACCGGGAGGGCAATTTTTATAATTTTAGTCTCGTTTGCTTTGAATTTATTTTTTATTTTCCTTTTTTCTCCCATTCCCATTTCCATTTTCCTCTTCTTCTTCGGTGGGACAGACTCCTCCCCCTTTTTGTACGGGCCACTGGCTGGGGGGTGGATTGGATGCTATTTTTTTCTTTTCTTCTTTTTTTGCCCTGTTTTAGCGCTGTTTCTTCTACGGCTGCTGCTGCTGCTGCCTGTTTCTTTTCTAACATTTCTTGTCGGAGAGAGAGTGAGAGAGAGAGAGAGCGTAATGGAAAGTGTGACAGGCAGAGGGAGAAGGAGCGCTGCTCAGGTTCACACAGATTTATTTATGGCCTTTGTATTGGTTTTAGTTGACGCTTTTTCTACCCCCTCGCCCACACACACACACACACACACGCACACACACACACACTACCAATACAAAATGGCGTTGACGGTATTGATTTTTGATTTATGGCCGATTTGCTTTATTTATGCACACCCCCTGTAAAGGACTAATAGAATGAGCCAATGATTAGTTACAGTCAGAGGCAACTGTACTTATGTAGGCCCGTACCTCCAACTCCTAGTCCTGCCTGAAGCCATAGCAACATTCATGCCTCCTCAAAGGCTTTCGATCATTATGAATGCCTCCTTCAGGCAGGCACGGATCACCTCTATGACTCAAAACACAACAAGGAGCTCGTAAGCCTTCCACTGCGCACATTTGGGTTTTTTTTTGCACTGAAAAAAAATTATTCATAGTCATTTTTTTCAGTGTAAATCAAGAAAACGTATAATTTCAAGCAGAAGGCGAAGCAAAACACCAGCAGATTTTTTGTATTTCTTTCTCGTTCTCTCTGCCAGAAAAATCAAATGAAGAGTGAGCGCGAAAGAAAAACCGAAATTACGGATCTGACTTCGGCTTCGTTCCGACTCCAACCGATCGAAGCGGCCCATGGACTCGATTTGGTAAGTGGATCTGCCAGCGCCGCGATAAAAAAATGCCTTTTATTCTTAGAATGTAGCGAAAATTCTTGAATTTTAATCACGGAATAAATGGAATTTTCTTTGCCTTGCGAAACGCTCTTTTCCACAGTAGCCCATCGTCGGTGTTTTATCGAATCTGTTGTCGAATCGCCGTCCACTCCATTTGCTGCTCATATTTCCTGTCGCATTTTACTCCGGGTCCGGGTCCGGGTCCGGGTCGGTCCCCGGGCAAACATTTCGTTCCGCTCGTTTTCGGGATTGGCCGAGAAGGAGGCGGCAAAAAATGCCGTGGGCACACGAACAACGCAAAATACGTGAAGAAATCTTTTTATTTCGCCCATCATTTGCGCTCATCAGCTTTTAATTTTATGCTCTTCCTTGCGACGGAGGGTCCTGGACCTTCCACATAGCTGTCTCGTAAGATGGCGTGGTCGAGCTGCAGTCCCCTGTCCCCCCCTGTCCCCCCCAGTCCTCTGACTCTGACTCTGACTCTGGCCCCCGTGGCAACCAACGCTAATGAGATCCAAGCGGAGAGCTCAGGCAACTTTCCATTACGTCGAGTTTTTCCAGGATTTTTCTTTTATTTTTTTTTTGTTCTTGCTTGTTTCGCTTTTTCTTCTTCTTGTGTTTCATTTTGAAGCTTTGTGCGATGGCTGGCCCTCCTCCTGGCCCTGCCCCTGCCCCTGCCCCTGCCCCTGAGGGACAACAAATGTCCTTTTGGCTTGTTAAGAAAATGTCGCTCTCTAATGCCCGAGACAAGGAGTGGCTGGCTCGGCAGAGGCCCACAAGGAATGGGGAATGGGGAATGGGCGCCACGACTGACTAGTCGTCGTCGTCGTCGTTGGCGTTGATGTTGCCGCTGTCGCTGCCGCTGCCGTCGCGCTCTTAAATTAGAAAAATGTAAATTTATTTTAATTAAGATAAATAAGTAACAAAATGTTTTATGGAAATTACGTTAGCGGAGCGTAGACAAGAGGGCGGCGGTCGGCGTGCGGACTGGGGATTCGTTTTGGCCATTACTGGCCAAGAGGCGACACACTCCAGCAGGACGCAGGACAACTGCTTTAGCATGCAAATACACATAATCAGCAGGCAGCAGGCAGGAGGCAGCGGGCAGGAGGCAGCGGGCGGCGGGCAAACAACCACAGCCCTGGCGATTGTTAGAGGTCCTTCGCAGGACTCTGCCACTTGAAATGAAAGCACCAGCACCGCCATATTTTTTTTTTTTATGGCTCTGCTGCAAAAGTTCGCCTGCTGTTTGCTGTTTTTATTAACCCCTCAATCGATGACTGATTCTCCATTATTTGCATTGATTAAAATGTACACATACTTCTGACCGCCACTGTTATCGGGCTCGGGCTCGGGTCGATGTTGAAACTTTTAATTGAACGAACCCCAAACCCCAAGCCGCCGCACCACGCCCCACGCCCCACGCCCCCCCGCCCCAGCACAAAAGCTCAACAATTAATAAAATATTTTTTCCCTGTTGTTGGGCAAATTAATCAGTGAAAAATATATGGAAATTTATAGTGGAAAAAGTTTGAAAAACGGCCCTTAAAGCAGGGCCTTCGAGCCCCGATCCACATCATTAGGGCCTTTGGGCCTGGCTTTATACTTTCTTGGACATTCGGACTCGCGTCTCGGTCTTTCTCTTAGCTTAATGGTTTAAATATTTACTCGTAATTAAAATTCAGCTCCATGCACATCACATCAAGTGCATAATCACAGAGCAGAGCAGAGCCCAAGCCCGGGCAAGGCCATTGAGACAAGTTGGGCTGCTGCCACGTGCAGGAGGAGGAGGAGGAGAGAGGAGAAGCAGGAGTTGGAGCTGAAGCTGAAGCTGAAGCTGGCATTAGCCGTGGGGCAGAGTAAGCAACTGAAGATTATGTCGCCCCCAAAGTAAATGAAACTTATGCACAAATTACACAAGTCAGTTGACGGGCATCCACAAGGCTCGCAGCGCCAGCCCCCCCCCCCCCCCCCCTCTGTGGCTGTAACGACTATATACACTCGAGGCGCCGTCATCGTCGTCGTCATCGCTGGGGCTCGCTCTGCTCATAATTAAAACTCGTGCTGAATGAAATCCCATAAAATGAATTAAACATTTTAAGGCTATTTAGGGCGAGGGGACTGTAGGTGTAAGCGCCAGTGGGTGGGGCAGTGGGGGGGGGGATATTGAGGGATATGGCTCTTGGGACAATTGCAGCGTTAAATGAAATATTAATGGCATGACTGTCGGCAGGGATCTGAGAAGCAGACGGCCACCTTCTTTGGCTCTAATAAAGCGTTGCCTCCCTGTGAATCCTGGCGGCTGGGGTGCCCCACCCCCACCCTCCTGCTGCTGCTGCAGGTGGAGAAGCAGGAGGCAGCTTTTAATGATATACTCTTTTTTTCTACTTTTTTCTCCTTTTTTTTGTGTTGTGTTGTGCAACTTGTGCCCGCACACACACACACACACACACACACACGAAAGAGTTTTTCAAGTGCATCATTATTTGTTGCAAATGGAGGCTGGCACAACCAAGTGGGTGGTGGCTCCGTTTCGAGGGGTGCCAGGGGTGCCAGGGGGGGGTCCTGTGCAAAT